TTACTAACAGAGTCACTCCACTATAAAAGTAACTAGTTACCAGTAAAAGTAACTATTGCGTTACTTTTTCGTTTCGTTCTGGAACACAATGTGCACTCGACGTGCACATTTTTACCTTTAACCTTAGTGAGTTTAAAATAGTGCCGATATTTCCATCTGGAAAAGGCTGTTTTGCTGCTGGAGCCTCACTTTTCATCTCTCTCTATGCTGTAAGCGCTAAACACCAACACCCGCCAATGTGAATGTGGAAACACCTGTGAAGCACTGACTTAACCCCAATCAGATGAACATATATCATTTAAATCAACAGGACCTATGGAGTGGCTTATTCACACTGTGTTTGGCTACATCAGAATATGTTTCATGCCCGCATTGTTTGCTCATTCAAAACACTATGAAAAAGCACATTTAAAAGTGTGTTATGCTTCTTGCCTTATAAATGACCTGCACAGACTATTTCTGTTCAGACCAGTTCCATGTTTAAGTCCAGATAATAGTTTGAGCGTAGATGTGTAATCTTCCATATGGAAATAAGTCCAATGAGTTTTAAAAAGTAAAACAAAACGCGTGTCCCCTCCACAAACTTCTCTGTTTTGCTAGCTGCACACGATTCTCGGGTGCATCCAATTTCTAAAATCAACCTTCTTACACTTCACCTCTCTTCCTTATCATTCCTATCGTCATTGAAACATTACCTTATGTGCATTTTAAATTACTGCCTGTGTCCAGAACCATGTCCCCTTTGTGGGGTCTGGTTCTTTACCCGTGTTTTCTTATGTCTAGGCCTGTCGCAATATTCAATAAACCAATGAATCGCATGATAATTAAAATTAGCTCGATAATTTTTCAGCCCGTGATAAATGCCATTTGCATGTTTGTTTTTTTCCACGTCTCTCTCGCTCCCTTTCTCTCGGGTCAGCCACACAGTGGTCACGTTAGCAGTTTAGCAAGCAGATGTAAAATACTCCAAAAACACAATACAGCCAAAACAGGAGCTAAACCAGGACTAAACCAGGATTGACAATGGGGAACACAGTGCTTGTGAACATGAGTTCTCATTCTTTAGTAGTGACTAAACTAGATAGCGTGTTCGCCGATGCAGAAGTACCGTTTAATTATAAAATAAACTTATGGCGCTGTTTTATAAGGTCTCTGGAGGGTCTTTGGACTCTGCAGAGCTGCATTTTTTACTGCGCAGGCGCTGGAGGAGCCGGCTACCCGCCGCGTTGCACTCTTTCAACCTAGACATCTCCCTCTTCTGCCCCCGCGTAAGAGCGCGCTGGATAAGACGCTACACTACACAGCTCCGCCACCGTCGCTGGACACGGGACCCGCGGCCTCCGGAGGACAAGAACACGTCTTTCCCACACGAGACGCTGGGACAAAGATACTGACATGTAAATATCTCCTATGTGAGATAAATAAAGCTTATCTTATCTTATACTACAAGTAAGTAAGTAAGTAATCTTTATTTATATACTGCCTTTTCACTGCAGATCAGAGTCTCAAAGCGGTTTACAATTGTTATTTTTTGGGCAGGGGCGCCAGTACATGAGGCGCATGCCAGATCAATTGGGCATGTTTTTAGTGGTAGGGGAAACCGGAGTACCCGGAGGAAACCTACGCAGACACGGGGAGAACATGCAAACTCCACTCAGAAAGGCCCTGGTCCAACCGGGATTTGAACCCAGAACCTTCTTGCTGAGAGGCAAGAGTGCTATCCACTCAGCCACCGTGCCGCCCAACAAGACCATCTTCACAACAGAGACAGAGAGAACGGTTCACAGGCCACCGCTTTGGCTCACAGTTTGTGTTGTTGTGTTCTGATTTGGTATGTGTACGTTCCCCTTTGACCCGTGACTCAGATAAACTATTTCTTTGCTTTGTTGAGGTTTTCGTTCTGTGAATAAACCACAGCTAAAATCACTATCATCTCCATTGAGTTATTAGATACTAGTTGATGAATTCCCTGGCGGAGAACCCACGCTTTTACAGTAGATAATGAGACTGATCTATGTGCATTCTTTAATTAGGTCTTAGTTAAATCCCTAGTCAACCTGAGGGGAACGGCTTCCGTTAGGGGCTCGTCCCCATGTTAAAAGATAGGGGGTGCCCGTAACGGACCTCGTCTTCAGTCTAAGTTTTTCGCGCCCTAAAGGCCGAAATGTTCTGACCGGCCCGTTATGGACCCACAATTTGCCGTTAAGGAACATGGCCTGTGCTGACCGTCTTCTGACCGCTGGTGGCGGTGTCCACCAATTCTTGGGTGGCCCCGCCCCCCCAAAATTAGCCCCGCCCCTTCCATTAGGGTCTATTCTATTCTTTGAGTTTGACAAAGTGGCTGACATCGTGTTCGGCACGTTCTCGTGATGAACATACTGAATTTTCAGCCTCCTAGCTTGAAGCCAAAATGTTTTAGAACCCAAAACGAAAATTCTGTTAGGGGCATGATTTCAAACATGTGCTTTTTGGGCTTTATAGCTTGACCTTTGACCCCAGGGCTACCAAATTTGGTACAGATAATGGTATGAGGGCCCTCTACCATAATCAAGCGTTGGATTTTAGCTGGGATCCCCCGGAGAGTTAATTGGCTGTCTGTAAATCAGCTTTTCAAATGGTGTCAGGGGCCTAGACCCTGACCCCATCTTCATCAGTACTTTGAAAATCGTGGTCAACATTTTTTCTACATGTTTTGGAAAGCTGTCTTCGTAGTATGTCATTAAGGGTAACGAGATGAGTCCAACGACATAAGTTCGGTGTCTGGCGGGCGTATCGTTTTGGAAAGGGGGGACTTCAAAAATATGCCGCTTTTACCCCTTGAATGTCCGTGAAATGGTGGATTTTGGTGGAAATGACACGTAATTTAATGAATCCATGTTTAAATAGATAAGGAATAGGATTCCAAAGTTTTCAGTCCAACCTAGGTGGCGCTATTTCAGTTTCTGGTTGTCAAAACGAAACGGGACAAAAACATCTGAATAGAGCAAAGGATAATGTGTAACATAGTGGAAAAGTGTGTATGATTGTCTTCCATCTTTTGGAGCATAAAAGGAGTCAAACCTTTTTCCATTAGGGCCACTTTTCCACAGTGAAATTGGCACACAAACTTATAGTTTTGGCCCATGAATATACACTACCGTGACATGTACATACAGTAAAATTAGCTCCGTACCTAAGGTCATTTCTAATTGTTGAAATTGTTGAATTGTTGGAAAAAGCATTGAAAATAGAGGCCTGACCCTCGTCTCAACCTGGTTTAACCCCTTGACCTTGGAGTTGCACGGTTCTACTTGGACCACAAATGCAGGAATCCTTCAACATACTAAAATATGAGCCTCGCAGCCTTAACCAAATTCAAACTATGGAGTTTAAAAGATTTCCCGCTCTTTTTGGCTGGCAGTTATTCCCTAAAGGTGAGACTTCCATTAGGGGCATATAAAGCAATATAGAAGAACCTCTTATGGAATTCGGACCTTAATTGACATGAGACTTCCATTATGGGCACATTAACCACATTAACAACCTTGCTCCTCCATACCTGACTGACATCCTCCAGATCTCCACACCTGCCCGCTCCCTCCGCTCCTCCTCTCTCCGGCTCCTGGTCCCTCCTGCTAGCCTTGTCAGCTCTGGAACACTCTCCCCCCTGACTTCTGTAACACCGACTCACTCACATTCTTCAAATCCACACTCAAAATCATCTGTTTGGACAAGCCTACTCACTAACATCATAACCACATTCGCCTCTGTCCATGATGCTTTTAACTTTGTAACTTTGTATTTTAGCTGTTTTTAAAATGCACTTTTAATATTATTATTATCATTAAGTACCCCTTATGGAATTTGGAGCTTGACATAAGACTTCCATTAGGGGCACAATAAGCAATGTAGAAGTACCCCTTAGGGAATTTGAACACCATTTCCATTAAGTCCGATGGGGGCAGGCGACACCGTTGGCGGGTGTGCCGAAACGGCGGCGTTGTTACAGACTTTTTCCCATGATGGAATTGCTCCCGAAAAGAAGACGCCATTTTGGCGCAAATTCCTCGGAGCGGGCGGCTTTCTATGGCGGCGAGGGACCCACCCCCCCTAACAGAAGCAATTTGAACCCGAACGGAAGGAGCGGGGCCAGGGGCGTGGAAATGGGTGGGGTCAATCCTTGGGACGTACGCCATCCCGTGGAAGCTTTAATTACTGCGGGGGACCCCGCTTCCGTTACGCAACTTTTGCTTACGGTCACTCTTAGGAGTAAGCACACATTTGCTAAACAGATACAAGGCAATTGTTAATTGTATTCTATACAATTAACAATTGCCTGGGCCGCCTGGGAGTGCTTCGGTCCTGCACCGGACCTGTCCACGTTCAGCGGCCACTGGTCCACGTTCTGTAGCTAGCTTAGGTCCTAGATCATTAGCCTGTCCGTCCGGAGGAGCGGATCCCTTTCTCATATGGGTCTCCCTCCCTGTGGGTTTCCCTAGTGCTCCCCAAGGTTTCTCACTTTTTCCCACTGGGTTTTTTAAGAGTTTTTCCTTGTCGATGCCGGAGGGTCTTGTTGGACAGTTAGTGTCCAACAGAAAGGATTGGTGATGATCAGGACACTTTAGCATTCTACAACATGTATGGACATTTTCTTCTGTGTGTGCTTTATATTCTCCATGTGTTAACTGTTGATTCTCTTACCTGTGTTGGTGATTTCAATGGTTTTGCTAAGTCCTCTGAGATGACTTCTGTTGTGACCTAGGGCTATACAAGAATAAATTGTATTGTATTGTATTGTGTAATTGTATACAATCCAAAGGAGTTACCACTATGTGTATTCTTAGATCTAAAGTGTACCCAGAGTATGCATCTAAGATACGTATGCATATTACCCTACATGTTTATTCTTATTTTTACCGTTTTTATATATCACTGGGAGAATACAGAATCACACAGACTACATATTACCACGCCTAGTTCTGTTGGATTATCCAAATTTGAGGACTTATCCTGCTGCCGCAATGTGTGTGGGCAGCTCACACAAGGGAAGAGCTGCAGGCAGTAAGGAGCTCTGTGGTCATGCCGCGGGACCGCAAAGCTGCTACAGAAATCCACTCGAGGATGCCGCGCGGGACGCAGAGAGAGGAGGCGGAGACCCTCCAGACCCTCGCTTCCCTCTGTTACTACGGGCAACGTGCACTCTCTCTGCAACAAAGCGGATGAACTCTCAGCATTGACCCGCTTTCAGAGAGAATCATAGACTGTATATATTAACGGACAGAGTCACGCCTATCTCCGTTGTTCTACCTAATGGGCCAAAAAATGTGCTCTACTGGAGCACATGGTCCCGCCCACAAGAAAATTGTGAAAAAACGCATCTGCGCATGCGTCAGTCGGCGAGAGCTTCATTCATTTGAACGAGAGACTTCAAAAATTCACAGCAAGTAAACTAGAGTGGCCCAAATAAATTCACCCCCCTCAGCATTGACACACATGTGGAACGGAGCTTTGGGCCAAGAGCCAGCTTTTGGACCATCCTGTAAAGACGTTTTCAAGAGGTCTGCCAACGCTATATGTTAGCGTTGGCTAATTCTACTGGTCCACCCCCATCGGCCGGGGGCGGTATTGCAAGCATGTCCGCGCACGTCATTTTGGCCACTTTTGAGCCGGGACACGCCTGCCCCTGGAGAGAATACAGAGACAGCAGTCTACAAATTTACACGGAGACTTGGTAAACAGAAAACATCCCAGACTCTGTCACAGAACTGTACAACTTCACACTCTTCAGAGCGGACAGATCAAAGCTGCACACCGGTAAGAGCAGAAGGGGAGGGCTTGCCGTGTTTGTGAACAATTACTGGTGCAAAGCTGAGCACTGCACTACAAAAACTGTGGTACGCTGTAGAGACATAGAGTTGCTAGCCATTATGAGGCCCTACTATCTGCCTCAGGAGTTTAGCCATGTTATTGTCGTAGCGGCCTACATTCCCCCATCAGCCAAGGCTGAGGATGCGTGTGACCCATCGTCCACCTAAGGCTTGTGTATACACCCATTGTACACAGACCACCAGCCACTCCCCGGTTGGTCCAGAGGTGGACCGTGGAGTGTGAAGACAGACTGAGGGACTGTTTTAACTGCACATTGTGGGATGAACTGTGCGACCACGGGGACGACATCAATGCCATCACGGAATGCATAACGGATTACATCAACTTCTGTTGTGAAATCGCTGTGCCTTCCAAGATGGTACGATGTTTCTCCAACAACAAGCCGTGGATGAACACTGAGATTAAGGCCCTGCTGAAGGAGAAGAAGAGGGCCTTTCTATCAAAGGACAGACAGGCACTGAAGGAGGTACAACGGAGACTGAGGCTGAACATCAGGAATGCAAAGGCCCGCTATAAGAACAGGATAGAGGAACAGCTGAGCCAACAGGCAGGGGTTTGGAGGAGCCTGAAGACCATCTCGGGCTTCAAAACATCCCCTGTACAGCCTGTGGGGGACCTCCAATGGGTAAATGAGCTAAACCACTTCTTTCTGCGTTTTTGATCAGAGACCCACCCCTCCCTCAGCTCACACTGCATGAAAAGTTTGATTTTCGTCCCCCTAAACGGCAGGAAATCCCCCTCTTTTTCGGGTATCTCAGGCAGTTTTCAAGACCCGCTGTTAGGGTGCCCTGAGCTCCAAACTTCCGCATCCGTACCTTGCTAATGTCCCTACTTTGCATATGAAGGCAGCGAAACCGTGTGGCCGCGCGTACGTGCTAATAGCCCTAATTAGCATATGAATGCAGCGTCTGGCCGGCTGCGTGAATACCCTTTTCACATTGGCATACCACTACTTTCAAACAAAACAAAAAACACTCGTGATTGGCTGAAAAATCACACGTGACCAGGCCAAGCCAAATGAAGCTAACTACTCATTGGATGAAGTCACTACTTTCAAATAAGTATAATCCCTCGTGATTGGCTGGCAGATCTGTCATTATTGGTCACCCTGCCTCATAATTTAATGTAATAATATTAATATAAATATATATTTATTCATATTAAGCTGCATATATTTTATCTTTATATATGTATATCTCTTATATTTATGTAGGCTTCTACACTATTATTAGGCCATCAACGACATTTATAGAGGAAATGAACATCTACCAGGAATATGAAAATGCAAAGAAAGTTTTATTAAAAAAGGTTTATTATACACACACACACACGGCTATCTGCCCACACATTAATAAAAAAAATAAAAAATCACAAGTCCGTGAACAGCAAAGCCTCCTCTGGGTTGTTGTCTGTTGGCTGCCTTTTTTCCGAGGGAGGTCCGTAGCACAGACGTTTAATTCCGCCTCTAACCGGGATTGCAGCTTCACACAGAGAGCTCCGGCTTTCTAAAAGACGGCGACCGCACAATCCACCCAGAGACACCGTCCACAACGCCTTCCTCTTCATCTGACATTAGCTCTACAGTGGCAGACTTCCAGAGATCCACCTCGTCAGCTTCGAGCACACTCCGTCTCAATTCCAGCAGCTGAAAAAAACAAAAAAGAATCAGTAAATTTTAATAGCCAAATCAAATCCGTGACAGCAGCTTTTTCCTATTTAAACATCGACTGAATCAAGAACATAGTGTCTAAAGCAGACTTTGACATTCTTATCCATGCATTTGCAGCTGTATAACAGCTGCAGTACATTCAAAATGCACCACCTGAAGTCCTGACCAGAACCAGGAAGTACGATGGCAAGGCAAGTTTATTTGTACAGCACAATTTCATACACAAGGCAACTCAAAGTGCTGAACAAAATAAGAAAGCATTAAAACCCTAAATAATCACAGTACATTAAAAAGATAAAAATATAAACTCCCTTAGTTGTATGCACAGCTAAACCAAACTGTTTTAACCTGGTTTTAAACATTGTCAGAGAGGAGGCCTGTCTCACTTTAGCTGGCTGTGCTACAACTGAGGGATTTTATATTTATCTTTGTTAATGTACTGTGATTATTTATTTTAATGCTTTCTTTTGTTCAGCACTTTGAGTTTCCTTGTGTGTGAATTGTGCTCCACAAATAAACCTCCCTTGCCTTACTGTGCAATGCACTGTTAAGTCTTACCCTCTTTCTTCTCGCTCAACTCCGAGCTGAACTCTTCGCGACGTCCGCCCGCAATACTCATAATAAGTCTTACAGGCCGCTAGAAAACAATCAAAAGAATGGTATGAATAAAAATCAAACACAAGACGCAGTAAAATGAAACAAGGAAGGAGAAACAAGTCACTTACACACAATAACGTCTTTATCAACATCATGGAAATGTGGACTTGCAGATATCGTGTCGAGCAAAAATGAGGTCACCGCCTCATTACGAGGAGAGATTAGTCTGAAAACAAAATGTACAGTTATGATTGGTATCTATACGTATCCATTTCCTTAATGTGATATTCTATAGCTCTTACCCTTGCTCTGGCTCGTAGCGCCTGGAATTCGTCTCCGAGTTGTGAAGACGACGTACCGATTCCTGTAAATGACAAAACATACACTTTAATAAAGCTTGTTCTTTTGCAAGGCTACTAGACTCTAGCCCTACTGGCAGGCACCGCACCTTTCACGGGCCTATTAACTCCGATTATAGGCCTAGTAGGCTACTCTTATCTTTGGTTTTCGGCTAGGCTACTTAGCTTAGCTAGCAGTCATTGAACATATTCTTACCGCAAACTTGAGATTTGTTGTTCTTTATAGCTTTATACCATCTATAGTTAAGAGACCGGGTCGAACTTGCGCTCCACCCGCTCGGGCCAGGCTACTCTTATCTTTGGTTTTAGGCTATGCTACTTAGCTTAGCAAGCGTTCATCAACATAATTCTTACCGCAAGCTTGGGATTGCGGACCCGTCTTCTCTTGTCGGAGTTCGTCTCTCCCGCGCTGTTTAACTCCAGAGCCACCAACTTCTCCTCCAGGGACAGCAACCTGGAGTCTACAGAATCCAAGTGCTCCTTTATATCGGCAGTATTTAGATTAATCTGACGAGACAGTCCGCTGATAGCAATCAGCAGTCTTTTATCGTCAGTCTGCGGACTGGCTGTAATCTGTGGATCGCGTCCAAGAGGAGTTGAAGGCGAGTGGAACGTGAGACGTCGTCCAGCCATGATCACAAACCAGCAAAATGCAACCACAGGAATCTGAGATAATTTTCTTCTGAGAACGCGTTTATATACTGGTCTTCCAAGTACTGCTGTGTCGTGCCCATAACCTCCCACGTGATTGGACGAGGAGTCGAAGGCTCGTCAGGCCCCTCCAATCAGATGGGAGGTCATTGTTACAGGGAAAGACTCGCGAAACTGGGTTGCAACCACGTGACCAAAAGGGGGCGTGGCTTGAGGCTGTAGGACAGGAAGTATTTTTCTCCTATTAAATAGAATTTTCTTCTGTTCCTTATTAGGCATTTTCCTAAAAATCAACACCCGTTAGTTAATAAATTTTAGCCAAATAGATACTCCCATCAGTTCCACACTTGATATGAGCAGTTGCCACAACTGCACACGCCACAGAAAAAGAGCATTTTGACTCGGAATGAGGACTTCCTGTCCCGCGGACGTGCGTGCCGTCACAGGCAACCCGACTATTAAATAAGCCCGCCTGTGCAGCTGCTTGTTATTTCGTAATGGAAGTTCTACGAAAGAGAAAAAGACATTGGCGCATTTGTGAACATTGCGACACTGAACTCTCTCATACACAATATTATGACCACAGAAAGCGTTATTTCAAAAATGGAGTTTGGGAGAAAGACCCCAAAAGGACTTTGTCGGATAGTATACAGAGCTGTCAGTTGCTATCCAGTCATGACCCAACCGTTGGGAGTTATGTTCAACCTGAAGTTGGAGAGATTTTTGACCCAGAAGAACATGAAGAAATGCACCCAGCGACTGACGGTTCAGACAACGGTGAGCACCAAAATTGTAACAGTTACTGTCTAGTTAAATGTAGTTGCTTCCCACGGTTGTGGTTATTATAGTAATAATAATGTATAATTTAATACAATAATTGCATTAAAATACATAACTATTTGTTGCATGGGTTGTTTTCCAGACGAAACAGAAGATGACCAAAGCATTCATCTTTTCATGGACTCCAGTAATTCAGAGTCAGTGCAAGATGAGGAAGACGTCTCCTGTTATGTGGTAAGGCATGAAATTACCTTTGAATATAGCCTACAAGTATAACATTCTATAGCAGCTATAATCCAGAGCTCAAACGGGGAAAATCCAGCATTTACTGTTCTCCATTCTCAGTATTACTACTGTTACTCTCAGGGCACAGCATACATGCTGTTAGGAAACTATGAAAGCAACTAAAGTAAACAATTGAATTATATACAATTTTAAATAAATCCCACAGTGTACTTTTAACAGGTTTATTACTAAAGCTATCTGTTTGAGATGCACTTAATGATTTTTTTCAAACTACAGTTGTAAAATATTTTCATATCAATCAATGAATTAAATGCTTTTATTATCTCACAATGGAGAAATTCAGTTAGATGAATAAACATCAAGGTTGGCCATGTGCACTGTCCGCGCTCCTTATGACAGTTATTCAACAGCAGAGGGCAAAACATAATTTGGAGAGATACAGTGCATGTGGGTGTGGGGGGGAGAGCGGGGCAGTCAATGTAGGGAGGGCCCCGTAACTGGTGAATATTCAAATGGGCATGTTAATGTTGGTCTTTTCACTCTCAAATTGACATATTCATGCTCCGAGAATGGTCGTTTGGGGCGCTGAGTATGGTCGTTGCATGCATTTTTAATGTGTCTTCTTTACATTTAGGATGAGTCTGTGCTAGAAGAGGAGGAGGATGATGAAGTGGTGGAAAGCTTCGATGACGAGCAGAGTGCAGCCTATCATCACATACAAGATGGGGAGGGGCATGGAAGTGATCAGTCCACAAGTCAAAAACCAGAAGACTTGTTGATGAGACTTCTGGCCATGATGCTTTTGTCATGGCAATCAACCTACAAGATTTCTGACAATGCCATCACATCACTTCTTCTGTGCATCAAACATTTCATGTGGATACTTGGAAATGTTCTGTTGTATATTTTAATATTTGACCATTTGAACATCATAGCCAAAAAGATCTCTGTGCACTCAGGAAAAACCCCAAGGACACAGGATGATCAGATATGAGTCATAAAGAGAAAATGCTGTTTAAACAGGGCGAATTATTAACTTTAAATAACAAACATTTTGACGAGGGCAAAAGTTCAGAACCTGATCTTGAGGCAGACTGGGAGATTCACCAACGGCATTCTGACGCCTCCCAGTGGATAAGGGACGTCAGCACACCCGGAAAACTCCACCCTTGGACGCATATGGATGACGTCATCGGAAGTCTCCCGTATATGTGCCCTCGGGGGGGGTTTTTGAGGTCAGACAGGACAGGGGCAACGCACAGGGAGAGAGCAGGCATAGAATAGGAGCACTTTTGTTGAACATTCTGTATCTGATTGTAAAGATAATTAAATGCAGATGTTAACCTTGGAGAATCTTTAGTCTGATTTCTGTACCAAATTGTGGACACGTCAGCCAAAGGGAATTATTGGCTGCAGTTCTCTGTGCTAATTCCCTCACTGCCTTTGCAAGCACTATTCCAAAAACTTTATTCTCCTTGAGGAAATGGACTGGTGTCCTCCGTGACAACTTCTTACAGTATGTGGTTTGTCCAAAATGTATGACAGTATACATGCTTACTGAAACCTACGAGCTCAGACGCGATGGCACAAGGATTTGTAAGACTTGTGGTCACATACCGTTCTACAATCATCCACAGCGGAATTCTGCATTAAGGAAGAAATGTGGCTTCTCCTTGCTAAGAACGGCAAAATCTTCTTGCGGTAAAGAGTGTGTCTATCCAATACGTTCTTACTGTTACAAGAGTGTTGTACAGTCTCTGGAAGGACTTGTTAAAAGACCTGGATTTGAAGAGAAATGTGAAAAATGGAGAAAGCGAAAAATACCTGAGGCTGTGTTAGCAGACGTGTATGATGGACAAGTATGGCAGGATTACCAGTATGTGGATGGGAAGCCTTTTTTAGCAGAGCCAAATAATTTTGCCTTGATGCTGAATGTGGACTGGTTCCAACCTTTCAAAGATGCACCATATTCAGTTGGAGCCATCTACTTGGTCATTTTGAATCTACCTCGTGAAGACCGTTTTAAGGAAAAAAATATGATTCTCGTTGGACTCATACCTGGACCAAAAGAGCCATCTCTACATATGAATGGTTTCTTAGACCCCTTAGTTGATGACCTTCAAGAACTTTGGAATTGCACGATTCTGGAAGACAGCTCTTTGTTGGGACATCAGGTGTACCGAGCAGCCCTGCTCTGTCTTTCATCAGATATCCCTGCAACTCAAAAATGTGGAGGCTTTGTTGGACATGGAGCATACAGAGGTAATTTAAAATATTAATATTAAATATTACGTCAACAATAATGATTGAATCAGTACAATAAAGTATGTTTTAATGGATAGCAGTTTGTCTGTATAATCAAATTTTGAAATATGAATGTGTTTGTAATATATTGCATTTCTTACATTTGCAGGATGCCACAAGTGTTTGAAGACTTTCAGCAAGAAAGGATTTGATGAAAAAATGGACTACTCAGGATTTGAACGGTCTTCGTGGGAGCCACGCACGTCAAAGGATCACACGCACTATGCTGGATTATCCAAACGGGCAAAGACGAGGGCAGAGCAGAAAAGAATTGAACGGGAGTATGGAGCGAGATGGTCAGAACTTTTCCGCTTGAGTTACTATGATGCCATCAGATTTGTCGTCATAGATCCAATGCACAACCTGCTCCTTGGTACGGCAAGACATGTATTCAGACTGTGGACAGAACTGGGAATGTTTTTTTTTCCAATTATTTTTATTGAAGACACAGGTAATAAAATACAATGCATAGTCAAATACAATGTTACAATGTCTCTTTTTTTTTTTTCTTTTGCTTGATACAATGTTACACAAATGTAGAATAACACCTGTTATAATAGTTGAACACAAAAGGAACAAGAACAAAAACAAACCCGCCCTTATCAATCATGGCATCAAATATTTTATGGTACAAAACAAATGTATAGTTCCAAACATAATAGGCTATTACACATATGTCCTGGTGTCCTGGCCAGGGAGCGGCATAGATTCAATCTGGTAGAGCACGCAGATCAGAAAAATAACTAATAAAGCATTGCCATACCTGGAAAAATTTGTCAGTGTGTCCTCTTAAAGTGTATTTTATCTTTTCAAGTTTTAGGAAACCCATGACATCTTTTAGCCATTGGGAAAAAGGGGGACATTTTGCAGATTTCCAATGAAGCAATATTAATTGTCTTGCAATTAGAGACGTAAAGGAGATAATATCTCTTTGCATAGAGGTCAAAGCAACTGAATCAGTTATACCAAATATGGCAATCAGAGGACTGGACCCTAAGTTTAAACCCACAACTTTTCCCATAGTAGTGAAATAACTAGACCAAAAACTGTAAAGGGAGGGACATTGGAAAAACATATGACTAAGATGACAAGAAGAACCTTTACATCTATTACATTTGTCTTCAGTTTCAGGAAATATTTCAGAAAGTCTTGACTTAGAGAAGTGTACCCTGTATAAAACTTTAAATTGTATCAGACTGAGCCCACATGAGATAGTTCGTATTCTGTCAATAGCTTTGTCCCAAAGATCCCCATTTATAACAATCCCCAACTCCATCTCCCATGCATTTTTAATTTTCAAACTGGATTGATCATTTGCAGATAGTATAAAATCATATAATTTGGAGATATATCCTTTTTATGTATATTGAATGAAAACACAATTTCCCAGGGCTGCTCTCGAGGAGCAGTGGGAAAGTTAGGAAATAGATTTGAAACAAAGCTACGAATCTGAAAATAGCGAAATAAATGACTTCCAGGTAAAGTATGTTTGGCAGAAAGATTAGCAAAACTATCAAATATCCCTGATGTATATAGGTCTTTAATTTGCCTGATACCCTTATCATACCAAATAGAATAGCTGGAATCAGATAGCGATGGTGGAAATAGGTGATTGTTGTTCAATGGACCCAGTGTAGAGGCTGATGTATTCCCAAAACCACGTCTAAACTGATTCCAAATCTTAAGTGTGTCCAGTACCACTTTGTTGTTAGTATACAAGGATAGTTTTGTAGGAATAGAGGAAAAAATCAAAGCTGAAAGAGATGAACCTTCACATGATAAGTGTTCTAGTTTGCACCATAGAGTCGTCGGAGACTTTAGTAAGTAGCATAGTTTATGGATGTGAGCTGCCCAGTAATACGATTGGAAATTGGGCAGTGCAAGTCCGCCGCTAAGTCTACACCTCTGCAACAATGATTTCCGTACTCTAGGAGGTTTCCCATCCCAAATAAAATCACCGATAATCTTGTCTAAAGTGTCAAAAAAGTTTCTAGGAAGAAAACTGGGGATAGTCTGAAATAAGAAAAGAAATCTGGGCAAGACCTTCATTTTGATCACATTAATCTTGCCAATAAGGGATAATGGGAGATAACGCCATTTCTGAAAGTCTGACTTAATTTTTGTGATGAGAGGGGTATAATTAGCCGAAACCAAAGAGGTAAAAGAACGAGTGATGTTTATACCTAAATATTTAAACCCAGATGGGCTAAATTTAAAAGGAAATTCACTTTGTTGAAGGTTGCAAGCAGCATTGTTGATTGGAAAACATTCACTCTTTTAAAAATTTAATTTATACCCCGAAAAAGAGCCAAAGTTATCGAGGATACTCAAAACAGTTGGAATAGTGGTGGTATAATCAGTTACGTACAGAAGCAAGTCATCAGCATACAATGACAATTTGTATTGAATGTTATTTCGCATTATCCCTTTAAATAATGGAGCAGCTCTTAGTGTGATTGACAGAGGCTCAATTGCAATGGCAAAAAGGAGAGGCGAGAGAGGGCAACCCTGACGTGTCCCGCGACCCAGAGTGAAGTAGTCAGAGTAAATGTTATTGGTATGTACACTAGCCTTGGGTGATGAGTATAGGAGACGGATCCATGCAATTAATCTATTGCCAAAGCCAAATTTGGATAAAGCTGAAAACAAATATTCCCACTCCACCCTATCAAAAGCTTTCTCCGCATCGAGCGAAATGACCAATTCAGGAATATCTGATGTATGTTTTGAATAAATAATGTTTAGTAAAGTGCGAGTATTGAAAAATAACTGGCGTGACTTTATAAAGCCATTTTGCTCGGTGAAAACAATGGAAGGAAGTACATTTTCCATACGGGAAGAAATTGCTTTAGCTAGCACCTTAACATCAGAATTTAAAAGTGATAAGGGCCTATAGGACCCACAGAGTGTAGCATCCTTGTCCTTCTTATGAATTAACGTGATTGTGGCTTGTGTGAGTGTGGGTGGCAGATAGCCATTCTCCAGTGATTCATTAAACATGGCCAGAAGCAGTGGTCCCAGTTTCTCAGCGAACCTTTTATAAAATTCCTTCGGTATCCCGTCGGGTCCGGGTGCCTTATTTGATTGTAATGCTTTAATTGAGTTTAAAATTTCGATGTTAGTGAGTAGGGATTCCATGCTCTCAGCAATGTCAGGGTCGACCATTGGATTATCAAGGTCACGGAAAAAATCGTCCATTTTGGAGCTGTCTGGGGGAAATTCTGATTTGTATAAGGAAGAATAAAATGATTTAGAGGCGTTATTAATTTCAATAGGGTCAGCAGTAATAGTATCTTCCGCATTTTTTATACTTGATATATTACGTGAAGCATTTTGTCGTTTCAGCTGGTGAGCCAAAAGACGACTAGCCTTATCGCCATGCTCATAATATGTGCCACGGGTTTGTAATATTAAGCGCTCTGCTTCACGAGTAGTTAAAAGGTTAAATTCTGTTCGCAGATCCAAGCGTTGTTTATGAAGTTCTGAGGACGGGTTTATTGCATATCTTTGGTCAATATCGGCAATAGCTGTGGTCAATTCGTTCATCCTAAAATCAGACTTTTTCTTTGAGAAGGCATTGTAGTAAATTATTTGGCCCCTAAGATAGCATTTGAGTGTCTCCCATATTAATGAATGTGAAGTAGAAGAAGTTTTGTTAAACAAAAGAAATTCATCAATTGATTTAGAAATTAAATCACAGAATTCCTTATCAGCCAAAAGAAGTGAATTAAACCTCCAACGAGGTGGGGCGTGTCTTTGGGTATCAAAGTGAATGTCTAATAATACTGGCGCATGATCAGATATTGTTATACTCAGATAATCAGATGAGATCACAAATGGGTTTAACGCTCTATCAATTATGAAATAATCGATCCTGGAGAAGGAATGATGAACTTGGGAAAAAAAAGAATATTTCTGACCAGAGGGGTTTAGAGATCTCCATGGGTCAATAAGATCATTATGTTTCATAAAATTGGAGAAAACTTGTGCCATAGCCGATAGAGTTTGAGTGCGTGGATTTTATCGGTCCAAATTTGGACTAATAACACAATTTAGATCAGCAGCAAAAATGATTGAGTGAGTATTCAGAAAGGGGAGGCTGCTCAGTAATCGATTGGCAAAGGCAGGATCATCAAAATTTGGAGCGTATGCATTAATTAACAAAACCTGTTTCCCCATCAAAGTACCAGCAACTATTAAAAATCTACCTTGTTTATCAGCTATAATCTTAGTGGAAAAGAATTGTAAATTTTTATGGATCAAAATGGCAACTCCTCTTGATTTTGAATTAAAGTCAGAAATAGAAAAATCTGACTCACCCAAGGACAGCGCAATCTGTGATGATCATTATTTCTAAGGTGCGTCTCCTGCAAAAACACTACGGAGGGCTTCTGACGTTTCAGATGCGAGAACACTTTAGATCTCTTGACAGGGTTGCCCATCCCTCTAACATTCCAACTTATAAATCTGCAAGGTGTGCCAGGCCCGGCCATTTTAGGATTCACGGTGGTACTAGCCATTTGATCAAATAACATAGAGCTGAGGCGGCCCCCCTCCCCCAATTCCCCTAGAAAACAAAAACCACCCAAAGTCCCCCAAAAACTTTCGAACAGTGGAGACAGCAGTGTATTGAGTAAAGAGGAAAAACATGCTCACTTAAAGCAAGCACTTCGGAGTCAAGGAACTATTCTAAAAAGGAAGAAAACAAATAAAATAACTAAGAAAGAGAATGTGAAGGGACTCCCACCAAACACATATCCTAAAATCAAAGTGCGCATTGTAATGGTATTCAAACAGTATCACAAAAGGTAAGATTTAACTTATATGAGCAGCACAAATTTTACATAAATGTATGCACGTAATGGTAAATGTTTAGTTTAGTTTACTTTATTTATTTGATCAGGGACAATGCACAAACAACATTAGTCTAAAAAAGAAGAGATGTCATGTGCCAGGTTATAGCAAAAATGCTAATTTCCACCCGCAGTCCCTGGACAGGTTGATGTTATACTTAAAAGAATTCATATTCAAATGTGAATCACAAACTTTCAACGTAAATGAGAAGCTGCATTGTTGATCAGTCTTATATTGAATAGTGAAAAAGGAGTGAAAAAATGTCCAAGAGATGAGGTCATACCGGTGTATCCACAAATTACCCTGTTGTCATGGTCTTCACGTATTGTCCAGCGTCATCAGCGGAGGTGAATTCCTTCTCTGCTCCCCTGTAGGTGATCCGGAGCCGCGCTGGGTAGAACAGACCATACCGGACGCCCTCGATGTTTCGGAGTTGTCGCCTCACGTCATTGAATGCAGCCCGCGCCCGAGCCACACCGTCAGTGTAGTCAGGGAAAACAGATATGGTCATATCACGCACCTTTATCTGTCCCCGCTCTCTCGCACGGCGTAAAATGTCCACACAGTCGCTGTAGTAGTGAAGCCGACAGACGATAGCTCTGGGACGCGTGCGCTCTCCTGGTGCTGATTGACGGGGCTCGTTGTCCAACCCGAGTGTCTCTTTAAGCAGGGCAGCGACAGCAGTGGTGGTGCAGGTGTTGGGACCCTCGTGGACTCCAACTATCCTTATGTTTTGACGTCTCGATCTGGCCTCGAGATTTTCACATTTGCCTTCCAGCCTGGTTACCGTTGCAGTGAGATGTGCCACAGTAGTTTTCAAATTGGTTATATCATCTGTACATTCAGACAGAGCCGTCTCCATGTCCTCAACTGTGCCTTTCAGTGTAGTCAGTATAGCATCAGTAGCAGCCTTGTTAGCCGCTAGCTGTGCCTGCAAAGCCTGCAAGTCAGACCTCACTGGTGTTAGCGCGGGCACAAGGGCATCCTGGAGCTCTTTCTTGATAATTCCAGCAATGTCTTCTTTAAGCGATGATAAAATCTCGAGTTTCAAGACAGCAGTGTCTGCAACGTGTCCAGATCCAGACTCGAATAGGGTAGAGCCAGGTTCGCTCGACGCTAGCTGCACATCTGTAGCATCAGTGTTAGCCTGCATGCTAGGAGGTAGCTGCGTCTGGATGGTGGTCCGAGACTTCCTAATTGCGTTCTTTCCAGACATTTAAACGTGACCGTGCGACTCACTTAAGATGAATATGTGCTTCAACTAAGCAACCATGTAAGATTTGTAAATAAAAGCGCAAATACATGTTACTTTTAATCGTATTCGGCAGGAGCCCGCAATCACACGTCCTACTCCATGAACAGCTCCTCTCTCTCTAGAACTAGGAATTTTAACAACAAAAAGCCAGTCATTATAAAGCAGTTTATGGTTGTTAATGTTGTCTCAAAGGGTACTGCATTTAAGCACGTTATTGCACAAGTTTCCTGGCTTCATCCCCATCCGGACAGCCATTTTTATGGAAAGCCAATAGAAGTTTGGTGCTTGCAGGGAACAGACACGTCACATCCAGCATCATTTCTGCCAGTTGAGCGCATTGCTGGGAGATGTGTGGTTAATACAACCTCTGTGCATTTAAGTAAGACCAAAGAAAAGGTCACTGTAGTCATGCCACTATGCTCAGTAGTTGAGCTCTAAGAGACCTTAATCTCTGCAGACCTGTCATTCTGATTTTAATGTTTGCATAGAGTGCACATTTTACCTCGCTGATTTTGATTAAATCTTTTTTTAAGTCAATTATTTTGTATCTTGTTTTTTACATGAAGCTTACTTTTATTAAATAAATCAATCCAAGCTAAAATGAGTCTCTTATTAGGCTACTCAGCCTGATCTATTTGTACTAGAGATTTTTTTACCTTGTCACCCTGATTAGTATTTGTATAGCTCACAGCATTTTCATTTGCATGTCAAAACCTCCCCTAGAATTAGGAGGAGGGGGGAACAACAGCCAAGCAAATTCCTGTGAAGAGCCGTTTACCTGAACTTCTGCAATAATTTACAGAGCCGCTTAGGGACGAAAATCACACTTTTCATGCAGTGTCAGCTGCATGTCCTAGCCGCCTCAGCAGTGGACAATAGCCCGGTCGTTCACACCTCTGTCAGTGCCCAACGGCCCCCCTCCCCTCAGACACATATGCCGCTTTTCCACAGTCCTAGTACAGTACGTTTTGACACTACACGGCGCGCCATGGCCCAGTTCGCGTGCTTTTCCATCAAAAATAGTACCCCCTAGTATGTCCTCAGCGTTGTCAGACCACGTCATTTACATGTGACGCGTAACTAGTACTGGTGGGGGGCATGGATTTATTATAATATCAGAGCAAGTGTTTAATAGAAAATTCAGCACAGCACGAGTAGTTTTTGAAAATGCTTATGTCTTAAAAGAACGACTCGGAAACTGTGAAGTCAATGGTGCTGACTGCTCTGCACAATCTGAATGGACCTTTAGCAACAGCAGCCTGTGTAGCAGTGTGCAGGAGGGCTGCATGTCCGAGGATACTGCTAGGCTATAGCTAATGCTAGCGCTAGCTCGAGACTCAGCTCACTCACTAACCCTGGATTCCAAAGCTACTACTATACTACACTTAACACATCTATCACTACCCTCAGAGGAGGATCCAGGGTTTAAACTCGTCATATGACAACTCGAGCAGTAAAGGACCGAGGGAGAGACAGCGGCAGCCATAGGGGTAGCGAGTTAGCGGCTAGGCTAGGCAAGGCTAAGCTAGGCAGGTTCGGACTACAGCAGACTCCGAGACCAGACAAACAATCGATACGCAAATCTCAGCTACAATAATAATAAATGAATGAATCACAGTCTTGGGATACAATCACAGATTTATTGAAAACAAAAGTAAAGTTTACAAAGTCAAAAGTAAAGTTTACAAAGTCAAAAGTACGTATGTGTGAGACCAGGTGCAGATGAGGAGAATACTCCGGTCACTCATTGTTCGTTGGTAATCTCCACACTTATGGAAAGGGATTCTCATACAAATATACACACGACAACTTAAATACAAACACAAAAGAGAATAACAACACGTGGATACTGCAGATAATACAAGATGAAGCACAGTAGCACAGGGAGGACGTTAGCTTAGCTGCTATCGATAGCTAAATGAAGCTAATTGTAGTTAGCTCAATACGGGCCAACGGATCCGTAGCTAACCAGTTATTTCAGGATTACCACAGACTAGTCACAAATCCAGAGCTGGGTGATCTCCCTGAAAACTGTGTTGAGCCTCGAGCTGCCTTTGAATTCTTTCTTTGGCCTGAAGAGAGGAACGTGTGGACCTCGTCCACCGACCAGGACCAGGACTTTTGGGGCTTTCTGTGCAATTCCAATTCCAATTTTGTCTCCAGGTACTGGTGCTATTATTGTTTTTGCCATTGATGGTGTGCTTAGAGACTCTATTTAGGAGTGACGGGCGCAGGGGCGCGCGTGTTCTGACGTCAGACGCCGACTTGGAGTTGGGCCAGCACCTTTACCTGGTGTTTTCTGCGGATTATAATCTCTGTTGGAGTATCGTTCTTTTGGATTACCATGACTTTTTGGATTACCGTGTGCAGAGGGATCTAACGAGACTCTGTGGATTATCTCTCCATGGTCGCTGCTGGGCTCCAGGACCCGTTTTTGTGAACCGTGGTGCATGCGCGGGGCCGTGAGTACACCGTGGCTTCACCACTGACACTAACTCTTTTTGTTTGTTTCCAAATATTGAGACTGCCACAGTTGGCTGTTTGTGATCATATTATGTTTTGTTGTGTGGGGTCGCGTGGGGGTGTTGGCGTATTAGTGATAGACTGGGATCAGTAATAAATAGCCAGTCTTGTGCCAAATGCATGTTCTGTATCTGTGCTTATTTCACCCCGCTGATGTGACATCTCCTCTCGCGACCCTTTTAAAGCGTTGTAGCTCTGTTGTCTTGAAAAGGTAGGCAAATTGTTACAAGGTGTGATGAAGAAAATCAAGACCAGGAAAGCAGCAGGACCAGACCACGTTAGCTCCAGGCTCCTCAGACGAACTGCGCGGGGTTATGGGGCACGTCTTCAACCTGAGCCTAAGGCTGAGGTTGGTACCACAGCTCTGGAAGACCTCCTGTGTGGTACTTGTGCCCAAGAAACCACGGGCCAAAGACCTCAGCGACTTCAGGTCGGTGGCTCTAACATCCCACTGCATGAAGACACAACAGAGACTGGTTCTGGGACATCTCCGCTCCACCCTGGGCCCAGCGATGGACCCGCTGCAGTTTGCGTACTGGCCAGGAGTGGAGGACGCCATCATCACCCTCCTCCACCGCTCGCTGTCCCACCTAGAGAAACCCGACTTCGCTGTGAGGATCCCCTTCTTCGACTTCTCCAGCGCCTGGACTACCTCACAGACAGACCCCAGTTTGTGAGAACCAGGGACTGCGTGTCTGAGGTCCTGACCTGCAGTGTGGGGGCCCCCCAGGGAACTGTCCTTGCGCTGTTCCTCTTCACCCTCTACACTGCGGACTTCAGACACAACAGAAGTTCTCAGACGACTCTGCCATCATCGGATTCAGCTCCGAGGACGATGATGCAGAGTACAGAGGAGTTATACAGGACTTTATGGACTGGTGTCAGCGGAACCATCTCCTCATCAACACGGGGAGATCCAAGGAGATGGTGGTGGCTTTCCGCAGACGTCACTCTGCCGCTCCAGCTCCAGTGAACATCCAGGGAAAGGACATTGAGAGAGTGGACTCTTACAAATACCTGGGTGTTCATCTGAACAACAAACTGGACAGGACTCATAACACAGACGCCCTCTTCAAGAGGGGCCAGCTCGACCTGCTGAGGAGGCTTAGGTCTTTTGGAGTGCATGGGCCACTCTTGAAGACCTTCTATGACTCTGTGGTGGCATCAGCAATACAATACAATACTATACAATACAATTTATTCTTGTATAGCCCTAGGTCACAACAGAAGTCATCTCAGAGGACTTAACAAAACCATTGAAATCACCAATACAGATCAGAGAATCAACAGTTAAAACACATGAAGAATATAAAGCACACACAGAAGAAAATGTCCATACATGTTGTAGAATGCTAAAGTGTCCTGATCATCACCAATCCTTTCTGTTGGACGCTAACTGTCCAACAAGACCCTCCTGCATCGACAAGGAAAAACTCTTAAAAAACCCAGTGGGAAAAAGTGAGAAACCTTGGGGAGAACTAGGGAAACCCACAGGGAGACCCATTTGAGAAAGGGATCTGCTCCTCCGGACGGACAGGCTAATGATCTTGTACGGTGTGGTCTGCTGGTGCAGCAGCATCACAGAGAAGGACAGGAAGAAGCTGGACAAGGTCATCAGAAAGTCCAACTCAGTCCTGGGCTGTTCCCTAGACACTAGGGATGTGAAGATTCACCGATTCGCATCGGTGGTCCGATACAAACGTCTGCGATGCAACTACACGGATACATTCAGGACGCATAGGATATAACTTAGGTGTGAACAACCTGAATAACCTTCAGGCTCAAAGGCCAATGCTCTACCAACTGAGCCACTGTCGCCCCTTGAAAAACATGTAAACTTGTTGCGTGATTCATGAAAAGCGTGAGTGAAGACGACAAAACGAAATGGGACCTACTGTAACCGCAGATATTTTTCTTCGTTTGCACCTGTCATCCACATGACAACACATCATAAACGAATATATTTAAAAAACTCCGGCCAAAGCGGAGATTTTTGAAAACTCTTTATGTATTTGCGTGTAGACAGAAATAACCAGAGTTTTGCGTTATCACACGTCACAATATGCCCCCAAAACAACAAATCAAAACGTGCGACCTCTGATCAGTGAAGAAGTATGGATCTTACTGCCTTAAAAACATCCTCGCTCCACATCCGAGAGCAGCCAAGTGATCACGGGGACTCACGCGTGAAAAAAAACAGAACAGGAGCTAAACCAGGGTTAAACCAGGGCTGAGGACGGGGGTCAGTGCTTGTAAACATATGTCTTTACCCTGAGTTTCTACTGTGACTGTAAAATTGCCGCTACAGAAGTACCGGCATCAGCATCAAAGCTCCGCCCACTTTTGTGTTTTTCCCCAACGCAGGACAGGACGTCAGAGGACGCACATGTTTGGAATGTTATGAATGTGATTGAAAATGCAGATGTTCGGTTATGTGG